AATCAGACAAAACTGTCCCCCACAACCATATACCAGATGGTAAATAATTCACCTGTAAAAATACAAGTGTATCTCCTATCCAAGCAGTTTTTTTAAACAAAATATTGATCTGATCCTCACATAAATTTTTACATTCTTTATTGTTATTCCTAGACATTTGTTTCTCTAATTATATCACATATTGTGAAAACTGTCTGATGAAGTCAGAGGAATTGAGTTCCTGTTCCTGTAGAATCAGGTGTTAATCAAATTTACCACAGCATAGAGGCATAAGTAAGTGCAGATTACTTTCATTTAGGCAAGTACTCCACTGTTACAATTTTGCCTGCCTTTAAAATATTCAGGACATAGAGTAGGCATAAGAACATAAAGATCATAGTACTATAATGATTATCTTAACCTTACAAAACAGGCTAGATTCTGCTATTCTTCACATAAAGTACTGTATCACACATTTTGCTAAATTGTCTAAATCCTGGTACAGTATTGATGTCTCCCTCTATGAGCTCACGCCTATTCAATAAGCTGCAAACCCCTTGTCCTGGCTGAATTCCCTCCAAAGCAGGACCCGAGTATTTTACTGCTGACAGTGGTCCTACAGGGGGAGCTAATTGTTAGCTAGTGGGAAACAAACTACTGGAGACAGAAAGGAAATTCTTCCTTAAAGAAAGAAATATTACAGGAAAAGATGCCTGTGAGGTTAAAAGAAAAGGCAGGTTACAAGAAGCATACATTTTATGATCTTATTTTGGTAAAACACACACACACACACACACACAAACCCAAAACAAACCCATTACATACCTATATATGTATACTGTTATACAAACAAAATCTAGAAGGACATGTAGTGCCTTGAAGGTACTTCATAAAAAGATTCGTATTTGTATTTAAACTCTATTTTTCCATGAGCTTTCTGAAGTACCCACATATATATGAACAGTACTTATTTCTGGGTAGTGGGATGTTGGTTGGTCTTTATTCCTTGTTTTCTGCATTCTCTGAATTTTTCACAATGAGCATAACTTAATTATATAATAGGAATAAATAAAGCTGTTTTATTTAGAAGGAAGAAAGAGTAAAAACACAAGAATCTTATGACCTAACTTAAGGAATATTACTCCTTGACTTCAAAATAGGGAGATTTAAAAAATTCCTCCAGTATTTCTTAAAAGAGCTGCTTTTCTGTTTACTAAGCATTTAAAAGACACAACACTGAAATTTATGAAAAGATGAGGATAACACTTGTAATCACAAGACTGCAGAATCATTAAAAGTAATGAAAAGATACAAGCAGATCTACAGAAAGAAAATGAACCATCCAGATGGCATGTTCAGAGGTTCTGTGCTCCCTGTGTTGTGAGAGCCTACAGGATAGCAAAGACCAGTTTCTTCCAATGTGTTCAAATCAACCCCTAAATAGGCACTCCAGAACTTTATAACTCTTTCAATAAGGCTACCCATTTATTTTTCTTATGCCTGACTTAAAATTTCTCTAAGAGAAATAATATATTTACTAAACTATTAATAAATGTATACACATATAAAATATTTATTTGGGTTTGCTGTCTAATCAACAGAGTCTCCCCCCACTATCTTGAGATTGATTTACGACGAGACAATCACAGGGCCAGCAGGTCAAAGAAATAGAATTCCTATTATGGCACAGAATCACTGCCTCTTAGACTGGTTTAGTCACTTATTTCTTTTTATTATAATGCCAAATGTTATTTAGGTTTCAGTCATTTAGTAATGCTACGCTGAACACATCAGGGCTTCTGAAAAATTCCATACCTACTAGTGCTTTCATTTTCATAATAACCATATATCGATATCCCTTTTCCAACTAAATTATGCCACGATTTAACAAAGAATCTGTGTTTTATCAGAGTTTAAGAGATTATGATGCAATGAACAACAGTCTTCAAAAATGTTCCTTCGTGTTATTAAGAATTAGGAAATCTTGTTAAAATTCTTTCAGCTTTTAAGAAACATAAGCAGCTTTGGGATGTAGTGCTTGACATGAACTTTTTCAGTAATTCCCTTGGAGTGATCATCTGCATTAGTGAAGATATTTCATTCAAGGTAGCACCCTATGCTGCTTTTCAGTATTTGAGCAGTCAATCTAATTGCTTTTTTAAGCCAAAGATTGAAAATAACCAACACTACAGACTTTTAAGGCTACGGTAGCTTAATGTTCTCTACTGGTGAAAGCTACTCACCATCAAGGAAGAGAGCCCTTTCTTACGTGAGTGCAGCTACTGAGCCCGACTTGTTAAGGGATATGGAAAGCAGAGTTTTCAATTTCCCTAGTTAAGATGACTAAAGGAAGGCTGGTGAAGGAAGGGGAAGGATACCCTAGCTACAGCCTATGATACCTGGTTTACAAGCTGTGAATTTTTTCCCCCCAAAGTCTCTTCCAAGTGACAAGCCACCATCAACATGTGTTTGGGGAGACATCAATGTCTGTGAGTGCAGCTAATGAGCCCGACTTGTTAAGGGATATGGAAAGCAGAGTTTTCAATTTCCCTAGTTAAGATGACTAAATGAAGGCTGGTGAAGGAAGGGGAAGGATACCCTAGCTACAGCCTATGATACCTGGTTTACAAGCTGTGAATTTTTTCTCCCCAAAGTCTCTTCCAAGTGACAAGCCACCATCAACATGTGTTTGGGGAGACATCAATGTCAATATGAATTGACAGGATGATGTGGCTTCCAAGAGGACCTAATTTAACCTCAGGCTGTATTAACAGAAGCATAGTAGCTTACACTGAGAAAGGTGACAGTCCCTCTGTTTTGGACTAATCAGAATACATCTAGAGGGCTGTGCCCAGTTTTCAGAACCGTATTTTTAGAGAGTTACCAACAAACTGAAGCACAGCCAGGCCAGGGTGACTAGGGTGGTGAGGCTCTTAGGATCACATCATTGAATAATGGTTGAGGAATTAGTGCTGTTTGACCTGAAAAGGAGAGGGAAGGTAGGAGGAGAGGAGGGTTTGATGTATCTGAGTTCACATATTTGAGAGAATACAACAGGGAAGATGGAGTAAATCTGAAACACGGTCCCAAGGGCAGACCGTGGATCAGCGGGGAGAAATTGCAGCAAGGTAGATTTTGGCTCCATATCAGTGATAACTTTCTGTTAGAACTGCTCAGCAATGGAGTGGGCAGCCTTAGAAGCTCATGAGCTTCCTTTCAGGGGCAGGTTCCAGCAGAGACTGGAAATGTTACCTGTTGGCTTTGCTGGAGAGGGATGTCTGCATATGTTGGAGGTTAGATTAAAGAATTGCAAAAATCCAATAGAGAATTTGTTATTAAGGAAACAAAGTTCTCTTTTCCAAGGCCTTGCTTCCCACAAAGGCTTATAAACTTAAATTCTTTCACACTGCGTGTTTGACTCATGAGGAATCAAGTTTCCCCAATCCACCTCCAGAATAAAAGAGAAAAAAACTATCTTCATGTGCTGCCTCTCACATATGCTCAGATATGAACATTTTAATGACTAAAACACAGTTCTAATGATCTCATTGATATGAAATCAGTGAGCTATGCTATAAGAATATATGACTTCTCCCTCAACAAAATTATTTTCATTTTTAAAGGGTAAAGAATAGACTTACATATTGTCTTCTCTCATGTGTAGGGCTCACTAGAGAAGGACACTCACTGATACTACAGAATAATGAATGCCCTAGAAACTGCAGTTAACTTCAGTGAGAAACATGGATTAGTTCTAGATGAAATTAAAATATTTCCAAAAGAGGCAAATAAGTTTTTTCCCTTCTGTGTGAGCAAACATATTGTGATTATTTCTAGGCAGGCCAAATTATTTTCTTGGAAGTATTATGTTGAGTTATTTTAATATTAATCCTAACATAGGTTTTTTCCATTTTTCTTTCTAATAAAATGCTTTTGTATTGCGAATCTGTTTTAAAACAACAGATCAAATAAAGTACAAGCATCTTTGAAGAGTGCAAAAATAATTTCCCAAGTAAGCAAATAAAACTTCGCACTTCAAATCAGGCCTTGATTCATTAAAAATCTTAAACTTCTCATGAGAAAAATTAACATTTAAACCACTGCTGCTTGGCCAAGCACTCCACCACACAAGAATATGAAATATCTCCTCTAAAAAAGTACAAAAAGGACAAAACCACAAATGTGGAACTTCAATTAATTTAAAGCCCCAATCAGCAAAGAATAAATCCTTCGCAGATCTAATTACCAGCGCTCTCGGAAGACCCAGGCCGACCAGCCAATCTTCCCCGTGTTTGAACAGCTTGATGAACTAGGGGACTGATGGATATCAAGTCATTTTGTTTAATTTATAAATGGATTTTCCCCTAATACTTAAATTATCATCAGTACAACACAATGAAAATGGGAACATTCTGAATGCAAAGTCTATAAGAGTCCTGGAAGGAATCCCAATGAGGAATGTCACCTCTGTTCATTCCTCTATACAATTGATCTAATTAAATACTGAGGGTAGAAAGGCAGTTTAAAATGTAGCCATTTCTGTTTTCTTTTTAGCCTTAATTTATCTGTTCACATCTTTCAAGTACCTTCTGATGCTTAAAAAAAAAAAAAACACCAAATTTCTGCAGGTCCCCAATACTTTTAATTCTCCACAAACTAATATTCAAAATGCCTCTGCCATAGATTTTGCCGAATAACAAATAAATGCATTATATTCAGCCATGTTAATAATAAAAGGAAGAGGGTGTTCCAACGTGAGCTTTTCCCTCCAGTAATTTGAAAGAAGTAGTACCTTCTGTATGTATTGTTCAACTGAAATTAGATCTCTGGATTATACTTATTAAAATGTCTCCTTATTTTCAAATCTCTTCCTTATTTAATTACTGCATGAGACTGAAAGCTGCCTGGAATTGTTAAATACCCTTAGACCTATTTATAGTCTCTTCACACTGGTAACTTGAGCACACTCATTTGGCAAAAGTCCTGCCCACCAACCCACACGTTGGGTTTGCAATTCCCACCTGGCTCAGGGGTCTCTGACTGAGAGGAGGAAGATGCTGAGCTGGCTCCATCCTCAGCGGTGCCCTGTGAGAGGAGACCCCGCCCAGGCGGGAGCTTCATGCCCAGCTGCTCTGCCATCTCCACATGGTCCCCAGGGTGGACATAGTCAAAGACGCTGCTGCCTGTCAGCTCCACCTAGAGGGGGCAGAGAAAGGGTGGGAAAGAAAGGTGTCACAGGTTTTTCCATTTTCAAATTCAGCACCACAGCAATTCAGATTCTGAACAGGAAAGGAAATATACTCAGGCCCCAGAGACAATCCTGGTTCTTTGTCTCCATCTTCAAATACTTAAGGATTCCTGAAGTTGAAAGAGAAAAAAATTTTTTTGCATGTATTTATTTGGCAATTGTTTAGCCCAGTTTTTTCTCATATGCTGTTGTTTGCATAAAGCAAAAACATTTTGTGAAACGTGGATGAGTCTGCCTTGGATTCAGCTGTTTTATCCACGCATCATCAAATACTTGCATGTTTGGTGTCAATGGGATGATTGACTGAATTCTACTGTTTTCTTATTGAGAAGTTTGGGCTTTGTACAGAAACAACTATACAAACAGCCAGAGATAGCAGACGAGTATTTTCCTTAAAATACACAGATTTCCATGATGCGTGTTTATACATACCATCTTATTTCTATGTAAATTTAAATGTAAGAAGTGCTGCTTACGAATATATGCAGAGGCATAATGCTTTCATTAAATATTACTCATTAGCTCTGTAATCATATGGAGAATTTTCCATGCAAAAGAGGTCAGCTGGGGTCTGAAGCAGCCATTTTTTTCTTGCTGGTATCAGCTTGTTTTGCCTTCAATCTAATAAAATACATGGTAGAAATCTCCTTGAGGGTTTTTTACAAAGTGTTTTATTTTGTGTACTCTTTGAATTAGGCTGGCTCTAAAGGTAGAGAATGAGTATCAAATATTAGAAAAGTCTCCGCCTGAAATAGAGGCACTGCCGATCCCAAAGCTGTCAGGTATGACCCCTGTGTCTGGATTGTGTGCTGTAGGAGGGGGCAGAAATTGCTAGTAAGAATTGGCCTTACCTCTGTACTCTTCTCATGCTCCAACTTTCATTGCCCTCCAAGCATAGCAATAATGCTCCTAACATTATGTACTTGGGTTACAGGTATTACAATAGGGAGAGATGTGTCAGCAACAGGAGAAGGAAAAGCTCTTTCCCAGGTCACTAATGGCTTTCCCGGTTCTCTGGAGTCTAATGGTCTCAGGCCAGCTATCATGTACCATGGAAGTTGCCAGAACGTCATATTGTCGTCACAACTTTCTTGGTGACTATTTACCTAGAACCCCTTCCTACCTCCTTTCTCCTTCCTGTGTAATTTCCAGCATCCCTGCAAATTCCACCTGAGTATTTTCACTCTCTTCCCTGCCGAGAAGGAAGCCTGGAAGTGGGTGAACTGTCACGGATAGGATAATACTCAGAGCAATCATTATCCTTAGAACTCCAAGTCCTGGTAAAATGATCACATCTACTCCCAGACACCATTTGATTAGAATTTTAACAGGCTACACATCTTTAACATCTATCAATTAATAGAAGACTATATAGTATAGCCAGAAAAATACAAGGCTAAATTCAGTTTGGTTAATAGCTATTCCTGAAAAACATTTGCATAACTTCTACTGAAAATGAGGTACTTTCTCTTGCTATTAAATTACAGCCACCTACTGTATTACCTGACTACTGCCTGGATCATTTTACAATACCTATTTCCTGCATTTGGTATTGTCACAGAGGTAAATCGGGATTCACAGTGATCAGCTCCTACCCTCTGGGAGGGGGGGATTACATGGAAATAATCCCTTTAATGTGCGCCTTGCCTCTAAGCACTTCACACAGTAATAAATGGGTAAACTGACTTTGAGCAATTAAGAAATTAAATGAAACTAATAAAATGTGTGTTTTAATATTTCTTGATGGTTATTTTGTTTGGGGATTAGTGAATATGAGGAAGTTGCTCTCAATTTGTATGGAGCCCAATTGCGGCACTTTAATAAATACTTCTGTCACTTTTCTCAAACTCTGATTTGTTTCTTTAATACTGCAATGTGCCTTTTGGCACAGACCACAGATTGTGATAAGATGACAACACAAGTGGGAGATAAGATCTTTTAGGGGTGCTAGTTATTGAATATTCATGTAAGCCAGTCTTAAGGAATGGAGGAATAGGCCACTATCTCCACAACCTGATTTGTCTGGATATGCAGGCACTTCCTTTCCACAAAATAATGTCCTGAGTGTGGCACATCTGGAGCAAGACTGAGTCACACTGCACCTTACTGCATTATGACACAGTACTTTCTCCTCCAGTGGCTTTGTGGGATTCCCCACAAAGATATCTCAAAGCCTAATGAAGAGGTTGGCACTGAGAATTTGACACTATCACAGTCTTTATGTGTAAAGCACAAACTACTTGAAGTCATAAGTCATAATCTGACTTTGAAATCAGAATCTTTTCTTTCTCAGCTGGATGACCTTGGACAATTCATTGAACCTCCTTGGGCTTCACTTTCTTACTCAAAAAGTGGCAGCATTGCTGCTCTGCAGACCTCTGGGGCACCACTCACACTGTATTCCATGATGCTAGCACCCCCTGCAGTGCTGTTGCTTGAGAATGGAGCAAGGCAGTGACCTGACAGCTAGGCTGAGAATGACTTGCTTTCCCTGGCTCATAGCCTAATTTTGGAGATCTCATGGAACCACGCAGAGAAAGTCATTTTGTGAGAAATAAGCACTATAGACTGACTGATATTGTTGTTGCTGTTTGGTGAACGAGAATGTATGACACACAGAAATGTATATTACTGTGTAACTTTGTGTCATCACTTTGGGACTTCACTTTAGTCAGCAGGGGGTACACTGGGGATGTTACATGCTTTGAGTCTTAACAGCAACAGTAACAGCATTATCAGCTACCTACTGTGTGCAGGAACTTTCTATACTTTAATTAACTGTAATGACAGTCTTTTGAATTGGTATGATCATCCCCATTTTATACAAGAAGAACCTGAATACTGAAAAAGGTCAATGGGGGAGATAGAACTAGGTGCAAAGTCTACTTGACTGAACTCGACCTACCACCTCTCAGGTAGTAGCCTTTGCAGTCACAGAGGCTGGGCAGTGGCCTCTGACTCCTATATCCTCCAGCCTCACTCTTGTTCAGGAGAGAACACTGAGCTCCACCAAGGCAGAGGCTGAGGCTGCTGTGCCATTGGACTCTGAGGCCCAAAACAGGCACTAAAGGAGGTGTCATAACAAAACAGATGTGGGGGTAGACAAAAATCTACTTGCATGTGCAACGCAAGTCATCACCATCGTCATTATTATTATCACATCTTACATTTATATTTCTTGTACTGCTTTCACTTCACTTAATTAAATATTAGAGCTAGAAGAGACCTTAAAAACCATCTATTAATATCCTCTTATTCAAGAGGTGAAAACTTTACAGTTGTGAGAAGTTGAAATGCTTTTTCAAGTTCATCCATCCGTTTAGTGGTAGAAGCAGGATGTAAGCCCAACTGGTTAACTTGGTCTACCACTTTTCTCATAAACCCTCGTCTGTTTTTTTTTTAGAGCTCATGTTTCCTGTTACTAAATTCTGTGCCTCAAAATAGACTACAGAAACCAAGACTGGGAATTTTTTACTTGATGAACAGACATTACTTCATGTTTACTTCAAGTAGTAAAAATAAACAATACTCCAATCAGTGTTAATTAGGTACCTTTAAATTCCCAGTTACCAACTCTTTGAAAACTTTTGACCACTGAAAACTAGGATTAGAGTCTTATATGTAGTAGGTCTATCCAAATGTTTGTTGAATGAATAAAGGATGGGTATTTAAGCCTGAAAATATTTTCGCCTTATCTGTGGTTGATTTGGGCAAGTTTAAGTTGGTTCTTTTACATTATTAATGGCATTATTATTATAGCATTATTAACTCTGTAAAATGAGTTACAATATAGCACTGTAATATGTTCATTCCCCATAAGTCTTTGCCATATGTATTAAGACATATTCCTTTTTTTCTAGACCCTAACTGAGTTTAATAGAGGACAGAACTGTATAAATGCTGGGAAAGGACAAATTTTAAGGAACTCCTTAAGAGAATAGTGACCATCTTTCATTACCTGTTTTGTTTTTAGTCTGTGGCAAAACTGTGTTTAGCTGGGTAGTTTCCAACTTTCACTACCCTATGTCCTCATTATCTGAATTGTAACATCATCCCATTAAAAATTCTTTCTTTTTTTTCTTTTTACCCTTTTGTCTTTTTTCGTGACCAGCAACGGATCGCAACCCTCAGTGTCGCACCCGTACTGGACCGGGACCGGCAACGGGATCGCAACCCTCAGTGTTGTGCCCGCACCCTGCTCAGCCAGTGAATGGCCGGTCTGTATGTGGGATCCGAACCCTCGGCGGGAGCGCCACCACGCTCCCAAGTGGCGCACTGTAGCAGTGCGCCACCGGGCCGGCCCTAAAAATTATTTCTTAACTATCGCTTGAACTCATCAACAGGAGAAGCTTCATTTTTATATTAGTTATTGGTCCTATCTTCAATCCTTAATTATGATCTACATAATGGAAAGGTATAGTATTTTCCCCCTAATAGTGTGTTCTTCTGATTAGTTCAAATTGCATTCTAAGGCAAATGCGAGGACCTTAATGCCATCGCAGATCCCTCCAGGACAGACCATGGTCACTAGTGCCATCTGGCATAGCCTCTAGTCAAGATAAACCACACAGCTTTCCTCAAACTTATTTCATGTTCTGTTAGCTTGCATGTAATTTGCACACTAGACGTAGTGGATTTGGTAACTGAAGTTTACTGGAAAAAAATGTAAATATATCATACAGTGGTGGTTTGAGTTGACTTTCCCATGTTGAGGTCATTGTACCCTGCTGGTAGATAGGATGAGGGACTAATTTGTCTTTTCATACATCAAACAAGTCAATAGCCTTTGCTTGGCCCCCTGGAGTGAGCAATACTTTTTAACTACAGCAATGTACTAACAGTACAACTCATTGAATTCAGTGCTGCTTTGATTGAAAGTATATCGTACAAATGAGGAACAGGCAGTGATATTGTAAGTCATCTCCTATTGGAAAAACTTAAGAGGATT